TGATGTGATGAATGAGACTTCTGCGAAGAAGATTTGGGAGATTCTCGAAAGCAAGTATTTGACCAAGAGTGTGGAAAATCGCTTGCATTTGAAGAGGAGACTTTATCGTTTCCAGTTGAAGAAGGGAACCTCCATTAGAGATCACATGAACCACTACACAAAGCTTCTTGCGGATTTGGCGAATGTGGATGTCAAGATTGAAGATGAGGACAAGGCGTTGCTGTTGTTGAGTTCCTTGCCCGACGAGGAATATGAGACCTTCGTTCTTACTCTGATTAATGGGAAGGCATCACTTTCGTATAGTGAGGTCACTGCTGCAAGGACAAGGCGTTGCTGTTGTTGAGTTCCTTGCCCGACGAGGAATATGAGACCTTCGTTCTTACTCTGATTAATGGGAAGGCATCACTTTCGTATAGTGAGGTCACCGCTGCACTTGTGAATTATCAACTTCGAAAGAAGGATAAGGAGGCTTCGGTTGAGCCGGTAGCGGAGGCGTTGGTCGCAAGAGGGAAGGGTCCAAACCGAAAGAATTGGAAGTCACAGTCTAGAGTAGGGCATCCTACAATTGGAAAAGATCAGTGTGCTTGGTGCAAGGAGACTGGTCATTGGAAGAAAGACTGCCCAAAGCTCGACGAATGGATGAAGAATAAGCAGAAGGGAAAAGGGAAGCAACCATCATCAGAAGCAAACATCGTATCGGATGGTAATAATTCTGACTCTTCTATTTATTCGCTTTCTATCAGTCCTACAGATAGCTATTCGGAGGAATCTGAATGGATGTTGGATAGTGGTGCGACCTATCATGTGTGCCCTAGAAGGGAATGGTTCTCCAGTTTTGAGAAGCTGGTGGATAGTGGTGTGGTGTACATGGCTGATAACCGTGCATGCCAGATCCTTGGGATAGGAAGAATTCGCATAAAGATGTTTGACGGGACTGTTAGAGAGTTAAACGATGTGAGATATGTTCCTTCTTTGAGGAAGAACTTGATCTCGATTGGAGCTTTGGTTGGAGAGGGTCTGAAGGTTCGTGTTGAGGACATGGTTCTCGAGATTGCGAGAGACTCTCGTATTTTGATGAAGGGCGTCAGGAGAAATAACCTGTATTACTTGACTGGAGGTATAGTGGCAGGTGGAGAGCTGACGACTTCTGTTGATTCGACTAGACTGCGGCATTTGGGGCTTGGCCATTCCAGTATTGATTCCTCGCATAGATTGAAAGAGGGTGCAAAGACCTGCAGTTTGAAGTCCAGTGAACATGTTGATGTGAGCAAGAAGACCGAGGTGAAGTGTGGCACCTCTATTCACCGTGCTAAGGGTCGTTCTGGAGGAGTTCACGTGGATGTTTGGGGGCCTTCCAAGGGGGCATCATTGGGAGGTAATAGGCGTTTGGTTTCCTTTGTTGGTGGCTGTTCTAGGCGTGTTTGGGTTGCAACCAAATCCCCTTTGGAGAAAGTCCTAGTAGTTTCCAACAGATTGAAGAAGTGTGTGACAGACAGAAAGGTGAAGGTACTCCATTCTGGTGGGAGGTACAAGATGGACCTATTTCTGTATTAGAGCCGAGCTCACGGTATTTCGAGACACTTCGTTGGAAAGAAAATCTTGGGGCAAGCTAGGATTTAGGCTTGCATAAATTTATGAGAACCGTACCTTGCTGGAGGAGGATCTGTGTTTGTTGTCAAGCAATGGTTGCCAGAAGAGTTCTTCTGGGACAGAGGCTTCGGCATATTAGGTATCCTATTAAAGAGTTGTCAACTGCTGTGATTGCGAGGTAAAAACTCCATTGCGAAGATAGGTCTGGTAGTGTCACTTTGCTATGAGGCTTTCGATGAGGGAGCCGATTGACTCTCAGAGGTGGAGAGTTTTGGACAGACCTTTAGAGGTATCGCACGCGGGTGGAGATTGATGCGCCTACTCCACAATTGGGTGGGGACTTTCCACATACTCCAGGTCATTCTGCTATTGGTTGGGATTCAGCTGACGGTGACACAGCGTGGGAGTCATTGGATTCGGATGCGGATGATGAGGTTGGTTTTTTGAATCGAGTGCAGCTGCAGAATAGTTTGGATATGGCATTGGTTTCGCCTCAGGTGGAGGTGTTTGAGGCCATTGGAGGTGCTATCAGCCGCAGAGTTGATGATATTGGAGAAGGGTTGCGAACTCTTCTATTGGATTGAGGTCGTTCGCGGCCATTTGGGTGAACTACGTTCGGCTTGATTCCTTGGGCAAGAGGATACGTAGGCAGTCTTTATGATGCAGCCGGGGTTTGGATTTTGATGGGGGTGAGATCGATTTGGTGAGTAGATACCGACGTTTGGAGAGTGTTTGCACTCTCATTTGGGTTCTCGACTTGTTATGGATTGAGTCCGTTGTCGTGAATTGTTTCACTTCGTACTGGACACAACAAGTGAGACATTTGGTTTAGTTGGTGTCGGCTCAGTTTTGGGAAAACTTCGCCGAGGTGGAGAATTGTTGAATTGTGAGAGTGGGGACCACAAGGAGTTGGGCAACTTCCAATGATTGATTGGGGAGCTGGGCAAATTCCAATGATTGGGAATTTGTTTTCGCGTGAAGAGGACCAAGGCCCACCCGACTTCTTTAATGACTGCAGGCTATATAAATAACAATGAGTCCCTAGGTTTTCGTGTGTGAGGAGGCAAAATCAAAAGCAGTTGGCGGCTGCAGCAGGCTCAAGGCAGAGGTGCGCAGGAGCAGCAAAAGGAAAACGCAGATTCCTTTTTTTGGGTTGTAGCAAAGTACAGAGGCGACTGTCTTTTGTTTTGAGAGAGATAATTGTGTGAGAGGTTTTGAGAGTATTTGTTTGAGGGTTTAGATTGAGTGATTGTAAACCCTAGTTGTATTCTCTCCCTCTAATAGTAGATCTCCCCCTCCTTGCCCCGTGGACGTAGGCAGTTTGCCGAACCACGTAAAATTGATTGTTTGAGTTTGTGGCCATTGTAATAGTTTTAGGATCCCTCGACGCGCAGTCTTAGAGCTGACGAGAGGAAGAGCTAATATCCTACTTTGATAGGATATTAGGCTTTCAGATTCTTGTTCCCTTTGAGAAACAAGAATTCTTATCGATCTTTCTCTCTTATTATGCACCAGAAACTCTGCCGGAATTTCTGCTGCGCACAACAGCAAATTTGTCTTTAAACTCATACGGCTGCCTAGTTTTTGTGCAAATTTGTCAAGCTTTGCAACTATTCACCTACTACCTTTTATTATTTTATTATTTAATTTTTCATGGCTATATAAGGGGTGTGTGGGGAGAGGGTTTACAGCGATTAGTGAAGTTATCTGATGTTCTCGCCCATGGACGTAGGTCATACTGACCGAACCACGTTAAATCCTTGTGTGCTGTTCTCTTTGTGTTCACTGTGTTTAATCAGTGTTATTATCCACTCTTGTATAGACATTTTCTGTCTGTGAAGCCCCTCTGCTGCAACAGTACTTACAAATGTCTACTATCAATTTCTTTGGCCAGCAATCTTAAGTTTATCTTCTTCTGGCGTAAATCTACTATGGATGAAACACTTTCTTAAGTTCTAGTTCTTGAAAAAATAGAGCGGATATCTTCATACCAATTCTACAATTACTATTCTTTTCCCTTCAAATTTTATGCTCCCTTGAAATTTGAATATGGTACTGTTATTGCAGCTAACTCTGTTTATCTTATGCTTTTGAGGAAGCTGTTTTTTCTTTCCTAGAGCTATGAGTCTTGCTGGAATTAAAACCAAACAATACCTGTTTTAGGAGGATGAAGAAAACTTAAAATAGAGAGAGGGGTAAAATTTAAGCAAGTTTCTGCATGCAGGTCTCTCAATAGAGCTGAGAGAAGAGATATCCATTTGCTGTGTGTTTTGAGCCTCAAACGGTCAAACCTCTTCACATATAAATTGTCACCAAAAGAGAGATGACCTATCATCTAACCTCATGCACGACATATGTGCAGCACATCGGGGCCTGATGTGTGCACAGTTTATAGCCCAAAAACCCACCGATGACGCTAGAAAGTAGTCACCGGGTTTTAGGTTAAACCAAACCGACTTACAATTCTATCTAATGTGGATCTAAAATTACGCTCAGATCATTGATGCCAATAAATGAATGAATTTTGAAACACAACCTTTTTTGTTTTAAGCACTGTAACTCTAACAGGTTTCTGGAAAATATAGATTGTTGACTATTGTCCGTCGATGATCCGTGGACTATTGACGATCGCCTCGTGACCATCAATGGTTAAACGCTGAAATCAACTTTTCATGCTGATTTTTGCATCGTTTTGAGTTACAACTTGTTTGTACTTGTTTATTCATGAAATATATCATCTCACAAATGTATTAGTACCAAATGAGATTTTGTTATTGATCAAACAAGAGACATCACAATGTTCTTCTCAAACAAAGTTCTAACAAACGATACTATGTTTACTCTGAGAAGCAACAACAAATGGTTAAAATTATGTGTTCATTTACCTATATCCCAACCCCCCACCCCAACCTCCAAAAACATATATATTTACAAATTGGATTTAGATCATCATCGTTTACGTGGTAAATTAAAAGGGTCCAATTACTCTAAACTTTACCCTTTATTTCATTTTCAGTAGCTGAGATTATGCCACATAGGATTATTACTGCTATCTTGAAACCACTACTATCCTTAAAACCACTATTTTTAATAATCATTGTGGTGGTAAAAATTATGGTAATTGAAATCTCTCAAATTATAGAGGATCGACATCCTCGCAAATTTACTCCCAACATCTAGATATTTGCTAATTGACCCCAAAATTTACCGCACTATTAAAAAATGCCCTCCAAGAGTTGTGCAAGGAAAGTCCCAGGATATTCACAAAATTCTATCAGTTGCTGAGCTGAAATTTCCTCCTTACAACATTAAAAACTAACAATGTTCAATGTGGGGGGTGCATTTGAAAATATGAAAGAGTGGGGTATACAAGATTAAAAAACAAGAAAATCATTTGTCTTTGGGGCTCTTGTACTCTATTCGATGAAGCTTGTTCTGTTCTCAACAATTTTCCTAATAACTCAACCTTTAAATAAAGCAAAGATTTTAATTCAAGGACGGATAAAAATCCGAAAAGATTCGTTGGTGGATTTGTCAAGGCCCAAGCCTATCAGTATAGACGTAACTGCTTGAATCGGTATGCTCTAGTTTGACTGCTCGATTTCTAAAATTTCTCAGATTTTTATTTTCTACTTTTTTTTTCGGATTTTTTAATGGTTTTGCTCTCTTTGTTATCATGGTGATTTTGATGAACTACGAGAACGTTAAGTTAGAAGTAGGAATGACTGGCTAGCTCATCATGTGTTTGATGTAATGCCTGGCACGCGTTTTATGTTAATGCGCATTTCTCTGTTGAGTTTGTGGGAAATCTTTATTATCAGTTTGTGGGGGGATCTTTACTCTTGAACGGGATGCTTGAGAAGATGAGAGGAAGAAAAATATGCTTTTGGGGTTCATATGCTTTACCCACTGTCACTCCACCCCTAAAAATCAGTCCATGAAGCACACTTTACTCCTAATAAAACCTGTGCAACAACCCACAGTCTCCAAACAGCCCACTATCTCATTTGTTCAAGATAATTCTATTGGGTTGATTTGGTCAAATTTGACCGGGCCAAAATTCCAAGACAGAAAGCTAGGTCTTTGAAGCCTCCGTCCCCCTCATCTTTGATGCAGAGCTAATAGACTTGAGGTGTGAGGTCTTGTTGCATTAAGTCCCTATAATAACTTCAATGTCATAATCTCGACGCATGCATATCCAGATTGAAACAAAAGTTCCAAAAGAAGTCATCGAGGTGTAAACAAAAGCATATGCCAAGAAGGTATTGCCGAGAGGACATGACTTGGGATGTGAAGTCAAGTTCTTCTACTGCTGACAATTCTTCGATAGTTCGGTTCTTTTTATCAACTGAGGTTTAGCTGAGACTCTTGCATGAATACTGAAAGACGTAAAAGCTATAAATAGATAGTAAGAGTTTAAAGATATATCATTCCTATCACATTTGCAGAATCCATTCCAATGTCACCACAGTTTGTATTTTCAGCGCTCACAGCTCTAGTCCTCCTTTCATGTCCACAAGCTTCCACATCCACCCCCACCTTCCATCCAAAACATGACAATGTCACTGATCGACAATCACTTCTCTCCTTCAAATCCACGATATCCGGCGATCCTAGAGGATCACTGGCCTCGTGGAACGACTCTCTTCATTTCTGCCGATGGCAAGGCATCACTTGCGGTGGCTTCCAGCATCCTCAAAGGGTCATATCCTTGAACTTGAGCTCCCTCGATCTTGTTGGAGTTATTTCAGCGGCCATAGTAGACCTCACATTTCTCAGAAGGATTGATCTGTCGGACAATCAAATTAGCGGATCCATCCCACAAGAGATTGGTCGCCTTTCCAGGTTGACATATCTTAACTTGAGTTCGAATTCTCTTGAAGGAAGTATCCCTGCTTCACTCTCTCACTGTTCAAAATTAGAGGTACTTTTTCTGCGGGATAACAAGCTCCAAGGTGAAATTCCAGTCAGTCTCAGCAATTGCTCCAGCCTACAGGTCCTAAATTTAAAAAACAATAGCCTCACAGGACGTATACCTTCTTCATTAACAAATCTTTCCTTTCTTTCTGTTCTATCTATGTCTGGAAACAAATTATATGGCGGCATCCCACATACCATTGGAAACCTTACTTCTCTAACTCAACTCTTCCTATACAATAACAACCTTAGTGGCAGCATCCCATCTAGCATAGCTAACCTCACCTCTCTAACTGAACTTTATCTGTACAATAA